ACAAACAAACAAACAAACAAAAACATCTGAAAGATCCGTCCTGCTGTTTAACTGCCGACGCGTCGCACCAGAGAAGGCACTGCGGCTGACGGCAGTGCAGGCCCTAGGCCTACCGTCTGCGATGCCAGATCTGGACCACGATCACTGCCATCGCGTCCAGAATTTGCCTGTCAGCATTGCTGGGGCGCTTGGTAAAACCTGCGGGCCAGCCATAGCGTCCTTGAAGCCCGTCACATGCTCGTAAAAGGTGGCCGCGGTGGGGGCACTCCCACAGCGTGTGATTCCAGCCAGCCTGCCTGACGCGGCAGCCAAGACGCGGGCAGGAAGCAACGGGATCGTCGCGACTGCTGTACCTGATTGCATGCTCGAGCGGCGACGTTGCAGCTCCTAGCAAGATCCATCTGTGAGGGCCTGTGGCAGACTCCACGAGCCTCCTACAAGCAGCAAGCCTATTCGTGCAGTAACGGGTAGCGGCATACTCAGGGGTGGCATGCCTTGGGTCCTGCAGCAAAAGCGCGAACTCTTGAGCCCGCCAAGACTCCCTGAGAAAATGCGCATGCTCATCACGTTGCTGTGTGCGGCCTGGTGGAATCGGCCGAATCTGAAAACCAAGCGCTTGGTGGCTCCAGACTCGTGGACCGGTCATGGTCCATCCGTGCTTTCTCAACCATTCAAAGGCGCACTTCTCCGATGCTGCGGGCGCAGCTTGTGTGAGGCGCCATCGCCCCGAGGCGTGAAGCATACGCATGACCTGCCTGGTGCCGATCTCCGTTTCCAAGGGCAGTGACAACAGCAAACGCTTGTGGTGTACGCCTGCGACGTACGGTTCACCACAAGCCTTCCAGGCTGCGAGGTCAAGGCGCTTGCATTCAGCTTCAGGAGGTTTGCGGCCTATCCAGCCGTAGGGTGCCTGAGCAGTTGCAGTAGCACGGATGGTCTCGTACTTTGCTTTGCGGGGAAGAGGCAAAAAAGTGGCACGGGCAGCTGCGCTAGCAGCCTTTTCAAGCCGTTGCGTTTCCTCAGCTGCGGTGCGCCGCTGCTTCCTCGTCACGGTGACAGTGCCGAGCAGGACGAGATTCTGCTTGACCTCTCTGGGGTCGGCGGCCTTGCGAAGCTCTTGAAGATCTCTGGGCATGAGTGCAGTCAGCTGTGTCTTGCCTGCATTTTCAAGCAGGCCCATAATGGCAGACCATCTTTGCCAAGCTGTCTTGACGCCTAAAAGCTTCGACATAGCGCTAGCCGTCCAGCTTCTGTCATCCATGAAAAGGAAATGCGATGCGTCGCCGTCCAGGTGCCGAGTGTTGCGTTTGACCCACAACAAGCCTGCAAAGAGGAAAACGTTAAGGGCTAAGGGTGACATCCCGTCTCCCTGCGGAATGCCCCAGTCTGTCACCATGTGCTGCGGATCCGTGTGGCCGTCCCAAGAGACCAGTCGGCGCTGATTCTGCCATACGTCACACAAAACGTTGGTGAAGCCGCGATTCAAGCCGAGCCAGCTCATGGCTTCTGTCACTAGCTGCGGGTCGACGTGGTCAAATGCCAGTGAGTAGTCTAGGGTGCCAGCGAAACCATGCAAATGAAAAGCATCAAGAGCCTGGGCGGCGAGTTGTTCACAACCAGCCTGGCCTTTGCCGCCTCCCACTTCGTGCGTGAGCACTTTGTCGCACCAGCTCCTCACCAAATCAGACTTGGCCCAAGTGCTGGAGTAAATTCTCCAAAACAAGCTGTAGACGCTGATCGGGCGGGTGTGTTCACTGGAAAGCTGTTCTTTCACCACCTTCCCGGGCTTCACCAGGCTGGTTTGACGGATCTCCTTCAATGCTTCAGGCGCACGGTTCGCCTGCTCCCAGCGAGCAGTGAGCTCCCAGAACAGAAAGATGGCTTCACGCGGAAGCGCTCGAGCTTCCGCCGCCGTCCACGCATCAGGGCCCGCTGCTCCACTAGCCTTTTGCGCTGTCTGGTAGCACTCCTCCGCTGAAGGTCTGCTATGCTGCGGCGGCTGCTGCTTGCCCGCAAGAGCTTCTGTGAGAAGCTTCATCTTCTGCTCACGCGTGGCAGGACTCTGTGTCTTGGCTTTGGCCCAAACCCTCTGCCAGTGAGCTTTAATGGCTTGCACTCCTTCATCTCTGGTAAAACGTTGTTCACCTTGATCGTTGATGACTGGAGTGAGGCCGTTTTGCTGCTGCTTGAGCCAGGCCGTGCGGTCTCTGAAGTTGCTTTGCACGCGCTGCTTCCAGTTTGCGATGCGCGACTGCTTGAGCTGCTGTCTGTAGTCCGCCTCTTCCTGCTCTTTCTGCCTCACGGCCGCTTCGAGCATCGGAGTGCTGCTGGAGCCAAGTTTAGCAGCGAGGTTGTGCCCTTCCTCACTGTGCTTGAAATTGCTGTCAGCAGCCTGCTTGCGAATGTAGGTCGTGGCACGAGCAATGAAATTGAGGCGCTTGCGACAAGCAAAGTTCCCTGGATCAGGGTTCAAGCGCTTAGGGACCATGACGACTTCAGCTGGTCTGCCCTTGCCAAGGCGCTGCCGCTGTCGCTGCCGATGCTTGGGCTGCTGCGCAGGAGTCTTGCGGCAGTGCTGAAGAGCTTCATCAAACATGTTGTTGAGCGCGGTGTTGAAGAGCTCCCACTCAGCTTCCACATCTATGCCTGTGGCAAGTCGCGCACGGAGTTTTGCCACATGATGCGAAGCTGATGCGCGGCGGAAAGTAGCCGTTGACGATGGTCCAATTCGAAACCTGCACCATCTGCAGCTGGCCCTCCTCAACCTGCTCAGGAAGGGTTTCAAAGAGAAGGCGCTGCGGCAGCTCAGCGGACACGGCCAAGAGCACACCGTGCCGAGGAGCCAAATGGCCCCATCTGTCATGCGTTGGCTTGCCCGGGGTGTAGTAGGTGCGGTAACCATGCTTGTGAAGGGCTCGCTTGAAGGCAGCGTACTCACTGAGCTTGAGAGCGGCCTCTTGCAAAGCCAGGATTTGCGTCTGTCGGCCGATGCATCCCTCGAAAGCTTGCGAGAAGATGTCGACTGCCGTCCAAGCTTTCGGAGCGCCGCCCACGTTGAGGCTAATGAGCTGCATGTTGCTGCGGCTGCCGGGTGACGGCCCAGGATGTGGGTGAATGTTCTGCTGCCTACCTTCAGATTTCTTTTTTTTGGGGGGGCCCCCCCCCCCCCTCCCCCCGTAAGCCCCCTCTCCCCCCCCAGGCTATAGGGCTGCTTGGAAGGTTCCCGGGGCTGGGGCCTCACCTAGGGCCTTCGGGCCATA